ACGTCGCTTATGAGAGGCAGAAACAAGAATCAAGCTGACGGTTGGGGCAGCTGTGGAGGTGATGGAATTTCTCTCTGTGCTGTGTTCTCATCTGAGTCCGTACAAAGCAAACGTAGTAAGTTTCTCATCTTACATAACGACGGTACTGCGTATCTTCTGCAAAGGCTTGATTGCACTTATTTTAGAAGTAAGTGCCGCTATGTGAGAGTTAATTAGGTACTAGAAGAGAAGGGGACAATTCAGAAATCGTTTTTGTGTAGACTGGAAACAAGGAAAAGCCCTCCGCAATTTCACCAGGTTCCTGAAGCTGGATCCACGTGTGTAGGAGCCCCAGGGAGGCTGTAAGTCCTGCTGGGCCCTGGGATCCACAGGCGCTGAACGCGACAGGGGACAGGACCAGAGAGGCTTGGGTTCCAGCAAGGGCCCGAGGGGACGTCACTCACATGTGACTGTGTCCATGTCTACTCCCCAACGTACACAGAAGCTGAGGTAGCGGCTGAGACATTTGCCCAGTTCCACACGGACTAAGACCAGAAATTGGACCAAGGTCTTCTAGTTTTGAATCCCATATGCATTTTTACTGAAGTCATCTTCCACAAATCCTTCATGATTTCTTTTGAAACTATGTGGAAAACCACAGCGTTCTCATGTATTTCCCTTGCTATCTGAATTTAGAAGTCTTGATGTTTTCTAGAACATTTGACACCCGGATGAGCCAGGGTGGTCCACACGGCAGGTGTCCTGGCCCGAAGCACACAGCATGTCAGAGCCACAGAGCCCCTGTGGCCACATTCCTGGCTGTATGTGAGGACTGTCGTGGTTTCCAGTGTCTGGTACTGGAATTGGTGGGGTGCTCAGGGGACATCACTGTGTTGTTAGGGATTTCCTTTGCAGAGTCCTTTCTTCATCATGTGTTGGAAGCAATTGGAACGGACTCGCGTGTGGCTGTCTGAGGACGTCGCTGGCAGAGGGCCAGGGTCCTGGGCTTGGTTACTGTCTCCCTGCCTGGCCACCTTCCTTTTTCCTCTTGGGCTCCTCGGGTTCCTTCCTCTTGAGCCCCTTTGTGGTTCTCGAGGGAAAGAGAACTCTCACTGAAGGCCATGTTTGAACTGACGCCTGGCGGGAGCCTCGCAAGGCCCTGTTCACTCTGTGAAGACCGGCCGTGTTGGTTCAGGAACCCTCCCCAAGCTCCTCCCGTGGGCCGGGGCAGCATTGCCTGGGGAGGGGATGAGCAGACAGACGTCCCGGCTCCCGGGTGAGAATCCGAGGAACACGTCGTTGTCCGCCGACCTCACAGCTGTTAGCTGCCCCGATTTCGTTCCTGGGCAGCAGTCTGTCCTGGGAAGGTCACTGGGGGACGAGTCGTTTGGCAGCGAGATCATGAGGCTGCTTCTCTTCCAGGGACCAGGTAGACTTGCCCGTGTGACGGTGTCACTGCCCCAGCATGCAGAGCCCAGCAGCCCGTGACCTCTGCCCCGAGGACCGAGCCCCCAGCGCACCTGGGAGCCCCGGGAGGGAGCGCCCATCTCAAGGGAAGGGGCAGCTACCCGTGAACATTCAGATGCTACTTAGAATGGCAGGGCTGTGTACAGACGGGAAACTGAGGCTCAGGGTAGCCGGGCTCGAGAGCACGACGTGTCCCTGGTGCCCTGTCCCTCCATTCACGTGGGACCCGAAGCTGAGTCTCTGCCATGTGGTGCTTCGTAAGCGTGGGATGGAGGGCCACTCTCCGTCCCCGCCATGTGTTTGCCTGAGAAGGATTAATCTTTGCCCACTGGCTTTGTGTGGTTTTGGAGGGCTCCTCACCTCCCTCAAGACCCCTGGCCTTCTAGTGTCCTCGCTCAGACCCGGTCCCCACATTCTGTTGCCCATGTTCCAGGGGTCCCAAGAGCTGGTTTTCAGTCATGGCAGGAGCCTGGGGCCTCGGCGCCCTGCATCCTGAGCTCTGTGTGTTCTAGTAAAGATGCGTGTGCACGTGCTACCTTAAACACGACGGAAGGACCCCTCACTCATTGCCTCGGGGTACCCCTGTGCGGACAGGTGGGAAATTCTAATCTGGAGTTGCTGCATATTTGACGGAGGGCTTTTCCTTGTCAGAACATACTTTAAGCTACTTCAGATTTCATTCACAGTGAGGGCAGATAAAAATTAATGACAGAAATGTGCACACCAATATTTTAGCTTTTTAAAATGCCCTGTTGCCAGTGAGCTGTTGAAGGTATTCTCCTTCTGTTAGTTAACCATTTCTCTTAAAACTTGTGTTGTAAGCTGTGTACTTCAGCCTATGAAGGTAAATGTCCAGTGTTTGTGTGCAAAATTAGCTGAGGACCGGTGGCAGGTCCCTGGTCTGTGCGCCACGCCTGTGTTTCCCAGAGGTGCATGGCCACAGGGGACCAAGGAGGGGTTAAGGTTAATGGAATTCCGGGAAGTGTACTTGAATTCCCGAGGTCTATAGCAGGACTGAGGTGGAAGCCAGACTTAGCTGTGTGTATAAATTTGCTAGACCTTGGCAGCTTGAACGTGCACATTTAGCTCTGCTTCTTCCCAGAACCGCACCAAGATGCGTCTGTGAGTGGGTGAAGTGTCAGTGCACAGGACGGACGGCTGGGAGAGACAGTGGCAAGTTTTTGTGGTATTGGGGTCGATGATGGGGGTGCCACATGTCGCAGGTGGTGCCACTCTCACGGGCATCAGAGGGAGACGATGAGGCTTGGCATCGAGGAAGCAGGCGACCCACGTCTTCCCCACTCCCCAGAGATGATTGTTCTCTGGAGAAATGGACCTGAAAACCTCGGGATTTGGGTTACAAGACACTGAATCTGAGCATGTGCCCCGGAGAGTGAGAAAAGCTCCAGCCCCAAATGATTCACAGGAGACCGGAGGTCTCTTCTGCAGGTAAATGCAACAGCTCAGGTAAAACGTCTGCTTGCTGGCGGTAGGTCTGGTGATAACCCCGCCACAGGAGGAAGACAGACTCGCAGCTCCTTCGGTGGGAGTAAAGAAGAAATTGTGAAAGTTGACAGGGGAGAAAAGAAAACAATAAACAGATTTTTCATGAACAGTATACCATCAGAATGACATTTGACTTCTCACCAGTAATTGGCATGAGAAGCCATGAATGCATGTAACTTTCAAATAAATAGATTTATACACATTTTCCAAACTTCAAATTTATCTGTAATTTTGCTTAGATGTCTGGGCAAAAGCAAGTTCCAGGAGGAAGGGATGCTCTGTGGTGGTTGTACAGCAGGTCTGGACCAGCCAGCCCGGATTAGAGCAGGAGGGGATCCACGAGGAGGGTCTTCAGGGAAAAAGAATCCCGAACTGGAAGACTGTCCCCGAGTTGTTGGTGATTGCCCACGGGGGAGAAAGTGTTGGAAAGGGTTCCAGTTCTGTTGGGATATTTTGAAGGAATTAGCAAGAGGTCCATTGAAAACCAAGATGATGGGACCAAAAGATTCAAATATTAACCCAGGGATAATAAAAAAGTCTAAGATAGAAGGGTGTTCACAGCACACTCCTGACTCATGATCTAACTGTGGGGCAGTGAGGGTCACACTTCTGTAAAAAGTCATGTGTTGTCTAAAACGGGCAATGGAAAGGGATCATAAGCTCATGTTTACAAACACGAATATAAACACCAAATGACCACCACTTGTCATTATGACTTAATACTACTCCTTGATTTCATAAATTCTGTGCATCTGTTTGATGAAATAGAGTAGTTTTTTTTAAAGGTCATTTGCGGACTATAACTGGACAGGGTTTGGCAGCTGTGAGCTGCTGTGTCATCAAGAAGTTTAACGATGTATGTCGGTGTACCTGCTGGATGGAGCGCTTGTAGGAGCTCGCCGCGTGACTGTGGCATGGCTGTCTGCTGCACAATTCTAATGCAGTTAACCAAATGCAGTTAATCTGCAGTTAGCTAACCTATCGTGTCATTAACCACAAACATGTCAGCAGGAGCTGAGGTGCGGCGGGTGCCTGGCTGGCTCAGTCAGTGGAGCGTGCAACTGTTGATCTCAGGGTCGTGAGTTCGAGCCTCACACTGAGCATGGAGCCTGCTTAAAAAAAAAGAATTGAGGTGTAGAAATCACTAGCACAAGAGAAATATTACACCCCTGATATAAATAACCCTCATGGGGCCATCACAGAAAACCTAAACAGTTTCTCTTAAAATAGCCATCACTGGTTTACTTTCTCTACCAAGTATTGCTGGTCCTTTTCTGAAGACTCAGCAGTTAATGTTTGATGCCCAGTGCTCCGAATTTCTTTACTTCTGCACTGTAATGATGAAACCTTTCCTGCTGTACTTAGTTTTATAGAGATGGTGCTTCCTGCTGCTCGAGTTCCCAAGTGTAATCGGTATTGTGATCGCCAGATCTAGGTCAGCTTTTGACAAATACCTGTCAAATTAGTTTTATCTGACCATTTCATCCTTTCAGGTAATTCATCATGGCCATATGGAAATAGAAATTTTTCAGTTATTTTGCATCGAGGGGAGTAAGATTTCAGAGTTAGAAATTTTGAATGAACAAAGATGAACATTTATGCACAGTCCTGGTTACCTGAATTGTAGCGTTAAGAGATCCTATAAGATTTATTGTAAAGGTAACCTTAATGGTAAACGTAATTTTAAATTTCCTCGAGAATGAACATAACCCTTTCTATATGTTTGTTATATAAAGAAGATCATAACTTGATTCTTTGGGCTCCATTTTTCTTATGCCTGTTCTAGATGTGTGTGATATAAGGGAGCTTGTGCTGGGGTCTCTAAAGGGTAGTGTTGGGCGTGAGTCTTCCCCTGCCTGGGACACTTCTCCCTTTCCTGTTCAGTGTCCATGATGTCCCCTGGCCCCTGTCCACGCCCTTGTGTGCTCTAGCTTGGCTGCGGGCATGCGGTGAGTCAGGGCTTCATTCTACCAAATGATTTTACCAAATGAATGAACTCTGGCTGCCGAGTAAAGCCTTACCTTACTTTGCTGTTTCCCTTAACCCAGGGGTGGATCAAGCGTTGCCTCCCGAGCGCCGGGCTCCTGTCACTCCTGCTTCTTCCACTCGCTATCACCGCCGAAGGTCCTCAGGGTCACGAGATGAGCGTTATCGGTCAGGTAAGGCACCAAGGGGTCGTGAGTCTGTGATTGTGATGGTGACGTGGACGGGCAGGTGCATGTCTGCAGCAGCTGCGTGGGTGTGAGGCAGGAGTGTGGTACGTTTGAATGTCCTTTCGTTGGTTGTATGATCACAGGTAATGACATCCTGCGTCCTAAACAAATATACCCTCAGGGGTACACATTAAAACTCAGTAAACAGTAACTCTTTTCACATTTTTAAAGATAGTGTCTGCTATTTAGAACTTCGTAACAATTGAACAGTAATCTCTCATGAGCCAAATTTTGCTTTTTTTTTAGGTGTTATTATTCAGCAGTTTGGTTTTACTTTGTGTTTTCTTGGTTGCTAGTATAATTTTTCTCCTTCTCTTTTAAGCCCAGGATTTCTGTTTTTCAAGTAGTTTTTAAAAAAGAAAATCCTTAAACTTTCCCGTGTTTTTTTCTTTCCTTGGTGTTTTATGGTGCTGTGTACAAGAACGCTGTCTTGGTAACTTTGTTCTCTTGTAGTCATCACCCAGGTTTGGTTGGCTTAAATTTCTATCATTAATTTCATTCCATTAATTTCTCTCATCAGAACACTTGTATGGTGATTAATATTTTAATTACATTTTGAGAGATTTTTTTCCAACATCTACATTAAAGTTGCTTTTTCCTGCTTCCCTAACTACGGTTTTTAAGGAAAATCATTAGTAAGTGTTGTTGCTGGGACTTCAGTTCAGGGTGGATGTGGATTGCTAATGATGACAAAAGATTAACACTTCACTTTATATTTTGCAGAGCACTTTCACAAGTACTATCCCACTTGGTTTTTACAACAAACAGGTGAAGTACTTACTCCTCCTTTGTGTTGCGGAAGAGGAAGCAGAGGCTGTGGGATGAGGCAGCTCAGGCAGTTGACACCAGGGCTGGGCGGATCGACCATGCTCTTGGTTCTGTTTCACGGCTCCTTCCATTAGTGGGGTGACAAGACAAACCCCCCACCCTTTCCAGTAAGGAGCTGTCTGCCTGACTTCCTGGCTGGGCTCCTTCCGAGGAGGGAGGGAGGGGTAGGGCAGACCTTACAGCATCAGGGTCATCATCTGGGGAATGAGAGTGAAGGCTGAGTGCTGCCCCTTGATCCCCCCACCCCCCCCAGATGCCTTGATGTGGGGACAGTGTGGGGATGGAATGAAGCAGGAGCTTGTTCTCAACTCCACCTTCTGTTTTCCAGAGATATTGGAGCACCCAGCATGTCTCAGGAGCCCATCCCCTTTCAGGTGTCTCAGAGGCCTCTTTCAAATAGTTAGGCGGGTAGAGGCATGCACACAGGTGCTGTCAACTTACTGTGAAATGCTTCAATTACCTCACTTCTCCGGATACTACCATGTTAGTATTTTATGTATGTACACACGTAGTCACACATACAGCAGATGCAGGTACAGACACATGTAGACATCCAGAATCACACATACCGTAGACACACAGGTAGTGATGCATGCAGACAGACACAAACTCACATGTACAGTAGACACATGTAAACACACGTCCATGCACACACAGCCCCCGTATGGTAGACACGCATGTGGATACACATGTGGACACAGACACATGCATGTAGATATATACAAAGGTGTGCAGGCACACATGTAGACCCAGAGACATGTAAACACACACATGTAGACACATACAGATACGTATGTGGACCTAGATACGTAGACATGCAGACACACAGGTAGACATGCACATGTAGACACACGTATGGACACCAACACACACAGATGTAGATGTGCAAATACATGTAGACACATGCAGACATGCAGGCACGCACATGTATGATCGTCAGTATCTTCAGTTCTCACAGAAACCAGCCAGGTGATGTTTTTTCCATTTTATAGATGAGAAACAAAGTTCAGGGAGGTGTGTGGTTGTTAATGATAACACAGTGAGTACCTCATCAAAACAGGATGCAAATCTAGCTTTGTCTGGCTCTATTATCTGACTTCTTACCACATAGAAGTTTGTAACTTGTGTCTTGTTCTAAGCTCTTTCTGTGTTAAATTTTTTAAAAATTTAGATGGAAATTAAGACCTAGCACAGTCTGTTTCCTCCATTACCTGTCTTTCCTAATGATGAGGGGTGGGGTTGATAAACCCTGATATTTTCCTGGCCTTTGCTAAGGCATATTTTCCAAATCCTCCTGGCTGTTTTAGGAGACAGGCCAGGTGCTGGTTGCCTCACCATTTTTCTTTTCAAGTTAAGTCTGAGAGCTGTTAACAAAGTAGGAAATGGTGCTGTCTTGGCCTCAGATGCATCTCCATTCACCCTTGCAGGCTGCCTCCCATCTTGGAGAGTGGAGGAGCAGATGTGGGAGAGAAGTGTGGGTGGAGGGTGGTGAAGGAGAGTACGAGAACCTGCAACAATGCCCTCTTAGAAGAAAACCGCACCTGTCTCGGTCCAGCCCACCTGGAGCCCTACTTCAGAATCTCCGTTCGTGTCAGGTAGCATCCCCACGGGGCAGCAGACATGGGAACACCTGCTGCACTTGGGGTCTGTCTTTCCAGTTAGAACCCCAGACCTGGGGATGAGCTTGGAGCTCTGCCTGCTTTGGGTGAAGGAGCTCACAGTCCAAAGGAAGAGCCAGACCGGTGACCCAAACATGGGTTAGCTGGTGACACTCCTCTGCTCGTATTCCAGCAGTTTCTGCTGCTCTTGGAGTAAGATTCGTATCTCCCATGTCCGTGGTCTGGCTTCCCATTATTCCATGGTCTTGTCTTTCACATCATCTCCTTTCTGCAACCACGCTGGTTTTCTGGATGTTTCTCAAGCACATAATTGCTATGGGGCCTTTATGCCCTTGGCTGCTGCTGCCTAGAATGTTCTTCCCTCGGATACATACATTGCTTGTTACCATTCCATAGGTCTCTGCTCAAGGGCTACTCTTTTCGTGAGCCTTCTCTGACCACCCAGTTAAAATGGTACGACACAGTGTCACCTCGTACAATCCCTATGCTTCCCCTCCTGATTCACGTATGTCCATTGCAGTTATCACCTCCAACACTGTCAGTCATCCATCTTCCTACCTACCTACCCATCATCTGTCCATCTACCTGTCATTTCGCTACCTACATCATCTGTACGCCTCTTTATCCATCTGCCTGTCTACCACGAGAACATGAAGCTCACAAAGACAAGGATCTTCTTGTTCATTCATGTATGCCAAGGATCTAAAATAGTGTGTCATTAATATTTTTGGAAGGAAGGGAGGGAGGGAGGAGAAAAAGCATAGTACATTTGGGGGAAAGCAAGAAATTAGGTAGGATGGGCCAGATTCTAAGGTCTGTTGTGTACTATGCTTGGAAACTTAGACTTTATCCTGAAGATGTCAGGGTACCACTTGAAGATTTTAGGCAAAGGCATAAGAGGAGCACATTTAGGGTTTAGGGAGGACTTTGGTAGCATTGTGGCATGTGATTTACAGGCAGAGGAGTCAGAAAGATCCTGAGATTGATGCACATTTAGATGAGTCAGGATCAGTGAGATCTGACCTCCGTTTAAAAGGTAGTAGCGGTAGGATCTTGAGGCTGAGTCAGCGTGGGGGTATGTGAGGGTGGGAACGCGTGGTGATTCCTGCATGTGTAGACCACGCGGCTGCATGGGTTATGGTCTCCAGCTCTGCTTTAGAGGATTAAGGTTTCCATTTGTAGGTTAAAGATGGTGGAATTGGCCCTGCTGTTCACTTACCATGTAGGGAATACTATGAAAATGGTGTTCCATATGGACTATTTTCATTTCTAAAAATTCATACTCCTCTCAACTTTGAACAGGTAATGGCTACCTAATTTACATATTGGAGAAACCTATCCAGAGGCTCTTTGCATGTGCTTGTGAACCTCGATGGGGCTGTCATTTTCTAGGACCAACACCGTGCCTCCCCTGTGTCTTGCGGCGGCCACCCTGAAGGGAAGCTAGTGAGGACCTGGGGGTCATTATCAGCCTCCTTTGATGGTCTTGCCACCTTATTCTCTGCTATTTCTTGTTGTTAAAATAGGCTAGTCCTGAGTTTTCTTAATTTAGACGTTTCACTAGTATACTGCGAGTTACCTTCCCTTTCGGTGTATGTCCACAAATCCTTCTTTAAAACGTGGTATGAACTCTGAAGAGCTTAGTGTGGCCTACTGCCAGTGTACAGGTGTCAGGATTTTCTGGTTTGTGTTTTCCTGAGCCAGCATGGAAGATTTCAGACACTCAAAAAGTTTTGTGGCCCTCAAGAGATTTTGCTTTCTAAAATCCTTGGACCACTCAGCTTGCAGTAGGAGTACTTCGGATGCTTCAGTGACCAAATTATATCAACCAAGAAGTAATTCTGTTATCTCTTAGATAATTACTCTAATTAACAATCAGTCAATCCAGCCATACAGCCTCAAATTTAATCTCTCCTGGCTGTACTTTTCCATTTCATTTCCAAACCCATGGCCTTCCATTGTAATGAACTCCTACTGGAATTCTTTATAATAGTGTGTACTTCTCCTCTTTTTAAATAACTTTATTTGGAAACTTAAATTTGATTTGGAGAGTGAATTAATGAAGAGGCATATCCTGACTGCCTAGAAAATGTCAAACTCTGTATTAGGCACTTTATTACTTTTACTTGATAAGTCTAAATTAGAACTTTTTATACCCTTTCTCCCCGGCCAGAAGCCCTAGAAAAGAACACTGAGATTTGTGTTGTTGCTATTCCTACCAGGACCAACGACGATAAGGAAGAATGTTCAAAAAAACCTGCAGCATACAATTTCCTAATATGTTTAAAATGGTTGTTTCATCTCTTGGTGAGCTGACAAATAGCTTCAGAAAGCACATCTCTGGTTCCGTATGTGTGCATGGACCAGAGCCGCTGCCTTCCCCGGCGCCCGGCCCTCACTCCAGGTGGTATGCCATGGAGCCCAGTCTCCCTCCTGGACAGCAGACCCAGACAGGGTCCAGGGACCCAGGGGGACCCCAAGACCCTCCAGGGATGTCTG